GAAGTTGATGGTTTATCTTTGTAATCAAAGATGGCACATATTTGTATCAATAACTAAGGCACACTTCAAAAACAAAATCATGCCATTTTTACGTTAAGTTCAGCTGGAGTAACAATATTTGTTTCTTTTTTATCTTTTTTTTTTTTGATATATCTCCGGAGAAAAAAAAATAGTTAGAGTTCGTTTTTCGATGATATTGTTACTACAAAAAACATATTTTTTTTTTAAATAATAAATACAAATTCTGAAAGCTCGTAGATTTTTCTATCACCCTGTATATTTATATTTTAGTTTGTACTAATGTATCACCAAAACAAATAGAGTACAATGAAGGTACCCTCATGTCCAGATTCCCATAGACTTGATTTTTTCTTTGTCATCAAAACTAGTTTTTAAAATTTTTCATCACCACAGAATGATCTTTTTGAAAAAGCAATTATAGATTCTAATAGAACTTGAAATTCTTTATCATTCTGTCTATTTACTTATTTTCTTACATTCATAGATTGAAAAAGAATTTGAATACAAAGAACATACTCTGAATCGACAAGTATCAAAAATTCTTACATTTCTCCTTTTTTCAAAATATAGTCTCCATAAAAATAACTTTTTTAAAAATACTACTACAGATTCTGATAGAGCTTGAAATTCTCTATCAATCTATATATTTTTGTCTTGCATTGCACTTGCGTGTTGAATGTACTGCAATAAATAGATGCAAGATACTTAACAAATATACTGGATGATAGAAAATTTCAAGCTCTATCAGAATCTATAACTACCTTTTCGAAAAAAAAATTCTCATAGGAATAACAAGTTCGAGAAGAAAACTCCAAAGTGCCGAAAAATGCAGATTTTTGGTACTTGTCGATTCATAGTATGTTTATTCTATTCAAATTCTTTTTCAATCTATGAATGCAAGAGAATAAGTAAATAGATAGAATGATAAAGAATTTCAAGCTCTATCAGAATCTATAATTGTTTTTTCAAAAAGATCATTCTATAGTGATGAAAAATTTTAAAAACTAGTTTTGATGACAAAGTAAAAATCAAGTCTATGGGAATTTGGACATGAGGGTAACTTCATTGTACTCAATTTGTTTTGATGATACATTGGCACAAACTAAAATGTAAATATACTGGGTGATAGAAAACTCTACAGGCTTCCAGAATATGTATTTATTATTAAAACAAAAAATATGTTTTTTGTAGTGACAATATCTTCGAAAAACGAACTCTAACTATTTTTTTCTCCGAAGATATATAATTCAAGAATGAATCAGTAATGAACTAAATGTTAAAAGTTTTGTTGAATCTCTAGAATTTCTCAAAAAATTGCAAAGGTGATGTATAGCTCTTAGATTATTTCATGAGGATCACCCTTTTCTCTCAACATTTGACTCTTAACGCAAAGCCTGTTCATAACCAGCACGTTTCCTTCACTGCTGAGTGAAACATGTCCATCGAATAATTTATTATGATAAATCATATTAAAATCAATTTGAATCACATTGTTGCAATACATTGAAGTCTGATTTTTCAGTCCTAAAATAATATTTCATATCAATGTAGTATTCTTCTAATAAGTTTTATTAGAACAAACAAAAAAATGCTTCAATATACTTTCATCGATTTAAAAAAAAAATCAATTTTAATCGATTAAACAAGGAATCCATTTAAATCTATTAGATTATATATTGATTATTTAAGAATTTATTGAAAAAAAAAAAACAATTTTTATTGATAGTGAACAAGCCAAAACAATTTCAGAGGGAGAAACACTCAGCTCCTGTTTAAAGCTGCAAAGCTGATTTTTTTAAGCATATAATATAGGATCATCGCATTTTTGGAGAAGTATCAAAGATTTCTGAAGGAGGCGAAGCTGTCTTCGGGCACCTTCTCGTTCCACCATTATTATTCGATTTTTAGCAACGAAAATTGCCTAAAATCGAAGGTTACATTGAGTTTAATCCAGAAGTGTCATATTTAATCTTTTTTTTCAGATTTTTTTACGAAAATCGATTAAATTCATCGGCTTTTAATTGATTATTATCAAAATATAATCTAAAAAATCGAAATTCTATTGATTACTCTAATTAATTACAATAATAATTCATCAAAAAACGATACAAACAACATCGCTTTCAATTGATTTTGTTTGACAATAAACGGTAAGATCTTTAATCAGTCTTATTTGTTTTGCATCAATTGTAATGAAATGTTTTATCACAATTGTATCGATTATAACCGAAATTAAACAGAATATTTGACGGAATTTTTATATATTTTTTCCTTTTATGTAGATTACAATCCATTCTTCTGTTTAATTTGTTTTACACGGGTCGAGAACTGCATGTAAAAGAATTTTAATAGTTTTTTTTCTTCAAAGAAATGAATTAAAATCGATTTGGTTTCTAATCGATTGTATACATTATTGTTGAAATCCATGAAATTGATTAGATTTCTACTCCATTATTCAGATCATTCTAAATGAAATAGATTTTAAAGGATTATCTTTGAAAACAAATAAAATCGATATATCAAATTATTTGATGAAAAACCAGTTTTAATTGATTATTACCTGCCAAACTCAATATAAATCTGTGATTTCTTTGAATTTTATCTGAAAAAGGCGTATTTAATCGATTTTTTTTAATGTTTATTGTCTAAAAAACAATGCTAATCTGATTTTTTTTACCGTTTGTTTTATATGAACATTTTCCGGATACTGAGGATGACGAGTTAGTCTCCGTCTCGACCCTGTGTAGTTTGGTTCCGTCTGCATTTCACAGGACTTTATTTCAACAACAGAAATACTGACTGACATTCTTCTACATTGTATACGAAGATAATATTCTATACCAAAAGTTGTAACAGAAGTCAGTGTTTTAACAATGTGCCAAATGCTTTGATTTCGCGGGAATTTACTAACAATACGAGTGTATGCCAACCTAAAACAGTCTCCTGAATTAGATATTTAGAAAATTTCCCTACATTCATTGAAAGAGCTTGAGTTTTTGTGATAAACATCAGAAATGTGACCTACTTCGATTGTCGAATTGTTGACAAATATTTTCATTGACATACCTCTTTCTGATAAGACTCCAAGAGGAATATGAATTTTTTGTGATTATGTAGAAAAATATTCAATTGGGAAAAAAAAATTCAGAGTTTCCTACGATTTTATAAAGCTTTCTCGAAATTGTACACGTCTGCATCAAAACCGATCGATTACAATTTGAGTCTATGAAAAAATTGACTCGAACTCCAATGCAAAAATAGTTGATCTCTAAATCTTCGCAACCTCTAGACACCACAATGCCTGTGTTAATTTTCGACTGAACAACAAAGAAGCATATGCTATTCCATACTGTTATTCAACGATATTTGTTTTCATCCATTTATGATGTTCTCTTACTGAATTGAAACAGATTCATACTTGATCTGTCGACAGAAGTTTGATCATAACACTTTGACACAATAATAGAGGAAAAATCCAAGAGTCTTACTGAGATTCAACCCGTTCTGCTGCCAATGATGAAGAGCAATCGACTTGCTTGCAGCACAAAAAGAAATTCGCATGATTTTGTTATTGTCACTAGGAACACATTCTATGTATCGTCGATTAGTGACTATACAAATCTAGTCTCCTGTAACAAAGTGAATCGGAGTTGTGTAGGTATTGAGTGTCGCTCATTGATCAACATATCATGAATGAAATTGATCAAATGAAACACAAAAAGGGACCAAAGTGACCCGTCTGAACGTAGAATACCTCTTAGAATACTGATAATTAGGTTGTAAGTCAAGTAAGAAAATCACTCTATTTCTTCATATTTGAGCATGACAATGAACTCAGACAGTTGATTCTCTCAGTGATTTTTCGGGCTCATTTGTATCAACAATGACTTATACAGCAATTGAAGTAGGCGATACATTTTTCATGTTTCTCGTCATCACAAATTAGCCATTACCTAGTTTTCTTTCAATGTTTGTTTATCAAGATGATCGACGCTTACTATTCAAACAGTATATTTCACATCAATATACAACATCTGGTACAGACAGTTCACTTAGGTACCAAATATGAGGCAAAGTAAAGGTAACTTCTCACCTCTATACATCTGCTGCAAACTCTATGACAGAAGCAAATAAGAAGGAAAAATATATATATATGCTACGATCAGTTGTTCGATCCGCCAATCAAAAGTTCTGATCGACAGCGAACCAACTGGTTGTCAATATCCGATTCCATCTTTGCAGCATACAGAGTGCAAACACAAATTCTATTTTTGTAGGTTTATTCTACCAGAACAGGACTTGTCATTTTAGAATGCATTCTACATTTTATTCAGTGCAGTTCGTGCAAGTCTAAGCTGCTGTGAAAATCTAAAATCAAGATTTCATGCTTGAAGAACTTATTTTGCGTACCATGAAGGTAGTTGCAGATATGAATTTTTTCTATATTTTCTCTCTCTTCACATGAAAACTCGAAAGAAACCAAGAACTTTTTCATCGTACATTATAAGGCAGAAGAATACGTAAAGTTTCAGTCAATTCTACTCTTTTGAGAATACGCACAATTCTCGTTGAGTAAATATGTTGAATGTTAGATTTGCTCTCGAAAAACTTTACGAATGAATATATATTGTATCTTGTTATCAAAACTATATTTTTCTTCTCGTTATATTTGTTGTAGATTAATCTAGTTCTAATGGCTAATAATGACTTATCCATCAGAGACATGCTTTTTCAACAATATTGTGGTGCAGCATTAACAAAAAAAAAAGAAACGATTGAGAATACAACAAACCCAAGCAGTGTTTCTATCATCAATAACAACCAAGAAAGATCAGACGCAACTTTGCCATTAGCGTATGTATCTTTCCTTTCAATTTCAATCATAGTTCGTCTTTATCTTCATTAGGTCACACTTTCATGAGTCAACATCACAACGTTTTATACGCTTGTTGGGGTTTATCTCATTTATGATCATATTGATGATCATCGGTATTCTCACGGTTTGCTTTACTTCACCAAAATCGAAAGGTATATGTATATATTATTCTTTTTCTATTCGAATTTTGTCCCAATAGAATAGCTACTCCGTGCATTAAATATTTTGATTGGAATCAAAAATTAAAAATAATCAAAAGCATTTCATATTTATAAACTTATATTGAAGATGCAGCCGAGAATGATAGATATCAAGGATGATGTTTTGATTTTTAATAACTGTCATATGATCAACACAAGAGCATGAACTAGTTAACATCTATCTTTGGAAAAGAACTTTTCAGCACTAAATGAGGCTGTGCTAATAAAACTTTTTAGTAGACTCTAGCAATGCTTGTGAAGATGCTAGATATATAGAATATCAAATCTTCTATGTATTGATGCGAAATAATTCCAACTTAGAATAGGACTTGATGATATACAAGCTTACAGAAATTGATTGATATTCAGCACAAATATTAAAGATGATAGTCAGATGATTAAGTATCTGTTAGTCTTTTAAATATTTCAACAATAAGACAAACTCTATCTGGAAAACAAAGTCGAGAGTTTTACAGGATGCAGGATGATCTGTGTATTGAATATGGAATGAAATCTCTGGAGTATGCTTTCAAAATCTAGAAAATAAAATAAAAATATTTCAATCTTTATGAGACACCCATTATATAATGAAAGCATATTTGCTCTTTCTAAGTACAGTTCAGAATATTAAAATAGGGAATGAATGATTACAAAATTATGCATTTCGATTTGTAGCTTGTCTTTAAATATTTTCTTGAAACTGAAACTCGAAAACTTCAATAGTTGGCAGATGTTGTGTGAGCAAGATTTTAGCAAACGATTTCTTTGATTTTCATGATTTCATAATAGTTTCCAGCATCAGAAATCATAGTGGTTTTTTTTTACTAACATCTTGGAAGTTCTTTCCTATTGTATTTTTTCTAGATCACAAATCAATCAATGCTAGAGGCTGAAACTGGAAGTAACGTAGAGCGAGGTTTCTAGTTGAAGAAAGTTTTCATTCAAGGCAGAATGAAGCGAATTACTAAGAAATAAAAGATTTGACGTTGAGGTTAGATGAGGCAAGGAGTGAAAAATTTACCTCGTTTCAATCTCTGATTATTAAATCGAACGAGGAAATTCGACTAGTAATTGCTCGCTATACTGAAATCGATCACTAACCGACAACTTTGCGTTGCATGGTAACAATCATGACAAGAGTCACGTTTTTTTGCCATGAGCTTTGGCTCATATACTGAAGAAATTTTAGGATTTTATTCGCTCAATTATTATTGCAAAAATAGTAGGTGATAATTATTAAAAGTTAACAGCAAAAAGTAATACGTTAGTTATGCTTTTCTACCGACGAATTACTGCTTGACACATGATCGAATCGACCTACTGACAAATTTGACATAAATATGCCACTTGAAGTCCACCTCTGTTACATATTAATCAAACAAGAACTTTTTCTTGAATTTTTTTCAATAATTAAATGTTTCTCAAGCAATTTCTATTTTTAATCAGAACAAAAATTTGTATTCTAATCATTAAATTAATTATGTCTTCTTGTTAGAACCAATATGTCCCTTTCTATTGGTATCTCAGACTCAAGATTGGGTTCCTGTCGCAGATCGTAAATTGCCAATTGCATTATGTGATTTCAATAATGACAATCACTTGGATATCATTGTCACTGAACGAGGGAATAACGAAATGAATATTTTCTTGGGATACGGAGATGGAAAGTTTTCCAAGAATCCAACGACTTCAATAGCTTGTTCTTCTTTACCGTACTCTATCGCAGTTGGCGATTTTAACAATGATAGTTGGTTGGATATCGCCGTCGCTAATCATAATCACAATAATATAGGTATTTTTTTTGGGTATGATAATGGAACATTCGCAATAGAAAAAATTCATTCAACTGGTGCTTCTCGTCCACTGGCACTATCGGTTCATGATTTTAACGACGACAAACAGTTAGATATTGTCGTAGCCAATGATGGTACGAACAATATCGGTATACTTCTTGGATATGGGAACGGAACCTTTGCTAATCAGATAACATTTTCAACTGGCTTTGATTCATTTCCTCATGCGATCGTTGTTGCTGATTTTAACAACGACAATCGACTGGATATCGCTGTTGCCAACGCTGGAACCAACAATATAGGAGTTTTTCTTGGAAATGGTAATGGAACGTTCTCAAATCAAACTACATATCCAGCAGGAAGTTATCCTGTCTCGCTGGCCGTTGGTGATTTTAATAAAGATGGTCGAATGGATATTGTTGTAAGCAATAGTAATGATCATAATGTATGTATACTACTTGGAAATGACAATGGAATGTTTACAAGTCAAGGCATCTATGCAACAGGCTTTGGTTCTTATCCTAGTTCGGTGGCTGTTCGTGATTTCAACAAAGACGATCGACTCGATATTATTATCGCTCATAGTGGCAGTAATAATCTAGGTTTCTTTGTCGGACATGGCGATGGAACCTTCGAAAAACAAAGGTTATATCCAATAGCTATTGGAGTCCCCCAAATGATCGTTGCTGACGATTTGAATAACGATACTTGGACAGATGTTGTCGTCGCTGTTGATAACGCTTTTAATATCGCTGTTTTTCTTGGAGGTCCAGATAAAAACCTTACCAATCTAAAGACATATTCAACAGGTGGCAATGCTTACACAATGTCTGTTGCTGTGGGTGACTTCAACAACGATGCTCGATTAGATATTGTTGAAGCAAATTATGGCAAAGACGATATAGGAGTCTTTCTTGGAGATGGGGACGGAAATTTTGGTATGAAAATTAAATATTCAACAGGATCAGGTTCTCAGCCATATTTCGTTACTGTTGGTGATTTTAACAACGACACTCGATTGGATATCGTTGTAGCCAATTATGGTACTAATAATATAGGCGTCTTTTTGGGAAAAGGAGATGGAAATTTTTTCAATCAAACTGTATATTCAACAGGATCGGGTTCTCAACCAAATTCTGTTGCTATTGGTGATTTTAACAACGACACTCGACAAGATATTGTTGTAGCCAATTATGGCACTAACACTGTAGGCATCTTTTTGGGAAAGGATAATGGAACGTTTTCAAATCAAACTACATATACAATAGATGGTTATCCCATATTTGTGACCGTTGGCGATTTGAACAAAGATGACCGATTGGATAT